CGGCGGGGCAGCGGCCCAGCCCCTCGTGGGGCGTGACACGCGGGCTGGCCAGGTGTCAGGATTTTCCTTCCTTTAATTTCCAAGTTTCTTTCTCCGCTAGACTTTTACAGTGTCAGTCGTTGATCTGTGAGTCTTAAAAAAACGAGGATTGGCCGGGTCTCCTAAAAATGAGCTTACTCAAAATACGGGTCATCTGTCACTCTGTTCGTTCGGCAGTGTCCTTCACTCGTTCACTCTCGCCCTCAGCCCAGCCCAGGGCGCGGCGACAGGCGTCTCTCCTCCCTGCGGTCCGCGTGTCTGGGGAGCAAGGAAGGCGGGTGTTCCAAATCACTGCTGCTTGCGTGCCTGGAACCCAGACACCTTTTTTATTTGAGGAGCAAAAGCGCCAGCACCCTTGATGGATGGGGTTCGGGTGCTCTGTCAGTTTGCAGCTCGTCTACCTCTTTGCCGCCCTGTCCTCACGACCCCGTTTACCTGCATCCTCCCAGGGACCGAGCTCAGGGCCAATGGACCTGTGAAGGAAAAAAGTGCCCTCTTGACCTTCCCTTATTTTTCACTGCCCCCTAGGATGTATGGTTCACACTCTGTGGCCTTAGCACCTTTCCTGGCCCTCACACATTTCCCCTAAGCCCAGACATACCAGCTGTGGGGCTGTGAGCCGTGCCTCTTCTGCCCCAGGGCCTTTGCACATCTGGTCCCTCACGGAAGGCTTTTCCAGCTCCCCTGAGGCCAGTTACCTCTGTCCACCCTTCCGTTCCCAGTTCAGTCAGCCCTTATTGCCTCAAGGAAAACAAGCTGGAAGAAGAGTGTTTTGGTGCTTGTACTTAACAGACTGGATTTTTAAAATTTATTTTTTAGAGAGAGAGAGAGCATGAGTGAGGGAGAGGGGCAAGGGAGAGAGAGAGACTCCTAAGCGGGCTCTACACTCAGCACAGAACGTGTTGCAGTGCTTGACCCCACCACCCTGGGATCATGACCCGAGCTGAAATCAAGAGTCGGACACTTCACCGCCTGGGCCACATAGGTGCCCCGTTAACAGACTGTCTTATGTTTTTTGTTTGTTTTTTTTTTAACTTTTAATGTTTATTTTTGAGAGACAGAGAGAGCATGAGCGAGGGAAGGGCAGAGAGAGAGGGAGACACAGAATCCGAAGCGGGCTCCAGGCTCCGAGCCGTCAGCACAGAGCCTGATGCGGGGCTCGAACCCACGAACCACAAGATCATGACCTGAGCTAAGTCAGACTCTCAACTGACTGAGCCACCCAGGCGCCCCTAGACTGTTTTAAAAACTACTTCATTTTGTGAGAATCACCTCATTTATGAACGTAAAATATAGCAGAAAAGCGCCTCAGACCCAACCAGTTCGATACAAGGTGTTTGTAGTTTAACGTCATCTTTAGCTCCTTGTGGGTGAAACTAAACACGTCTGCACGTGGTGGTGAGCATCTGAAGCCCCTACTCAGTGACTGTCCACACGGTCCTTCCACTTTTCTTTGCTCTGTTGGCCTTTCTCGTGTTGATGTGCAGGTGGCCTCAAATATCGAGAAGATTAGTCCCTCGTGTAATGGGTCATGGGTATTTCCCCACACTTTGTCTTTTGACTTAGTTTATGGTGTTTGTCTCATGTTCATTTCTGACCGAGGTACAGGCCACACGGCATTATGTTAGTTGAAGGCGTACAACGTGGTGACTTCACGTCTGCGTGGGTCGTGGCACGGTCACCACGGTGTCGTCACCGCCTGCAGTTCCAGAATCTTATCTTGTGACGGAACTTTTGAGATCTGCTCTCTTCACCGCTTTCAGAGATACAGCGTGATGCTGTTGGCTGCGGTCGTTGTGCTGTGCACGACATCCCAGCACTGTTGTGTAACTGGAAGCCTGTCCCTTGTGACCCCTCACCTCCCTTCACCGCCCGTCACCGTCGTCACAGACCGCGGTGTTTGCGTGGTCTGTGGATCCGTCTTGTCCCTCGCCACTCCGGGCTGTGTCTTCTTGTCCACAGTGTCTCCAGTTTGATTTTCTGACACGTCAATCTTTGGTCCAGGTGAGATTTATTTCAGTGTGCCGGAAGGGATCCGACTTGATTATTTTTCAGGTGGTTTTCCAGTCGTCCCAGGACGAGCCGTGTGGCGCCAGCAGGGCGGGGGTGGTGGAGGGGCCGCCCCGCCACCTGGCCCTGCTTTGGTTTGTTTTTCCAGCGTTTCACGTGTAGTTTTCCATGTGAACTTTTACACTCAGTTCATCTGGCTCGGTTTTTTGTTGTTTGTTTGTTTTTTTTTTTTTTTTT